AGGTCTTACGTGTCCAGGTTTTCCCTATTTCTCTCCCTCGGGGAAGGGCCTGGCCTCCAGGGGCCTGTGCATGTTTGGTGAATTAGGCATGTTTTTGTTTGTGTGTTTATTTTTGTGTGTTTTTTTAAAATATATTTCTTTATTGATTTAAGAGAGGAAGGGAGAGGGAGGAAGAGATAGAAACATCAATGATGAGAGAGAATCATTGATTGGCTGCCTTCTGCACGACCCCCACTGCAACCCGGGCATGTGCCCTTGACCCGAATCGAACCCAGTACCTTCAGTCTACAGGCTGACTCTCTATCCACTGAGCCAAACTGGCTAGGGCTGTGTGTTTGTTTTTTGCTTATTTTGTGTAGAGTTTTTTTCCCCCCTTTACTTTCTTTCTTTCTTTTAGTCCAGAAGGCTAATAAGTCTACCTTCTGGGTCTCAATTTAAAGCATTGTGCTTTCTTTTCCCCACCACATTTTGATCAGAACAAGGGGTCAGTTGGTGACATGCTGCTCCAGCCGCTTCCCGCACACCCTGGGTGCACTTTGGCGCTTGGGTATTTGGCATTGCGGACAGTGAAACGTACATCCCCAGCCCTTGTTTCTGTGCCTTCTCCACTACTGTGTAGATGTGCCCCTACCATCCAGACAGCTTGGCTTTGGGGTTGACTGTGCGGGGGATGGGAGGCCGTCAGTCCGAGTGAGACTCTGGGAGGAAGTTGGCCGTGGGACTGATTCAGAGATGCCCCAAGTGTGGCTGTATTCTCTGCATCTTCCCACAACCCCAAATTTACCCCACATAGATATCTTCTTGGTGTGGCCCCGGGCTCTCAAGCCGAAGGGAGTGAGGGTATATTTCAGTTTTCTTTTTCATGGTAGCTGAAGCTGACAGTGGTCAGCGCTGAATCCCTGACACCCTAGAGGCTGACATCCCAGCGCCTGGTTAACTTAGGGCCTTGCTTCCAGGGGGCCTTGAACATGTTGATTGTCTTTGATCAGAAGAAGTTCTTTGTGTTTGAAATTTTCAGCCTGCTTCCTTGACTCGATGGCCACCTTGGGCCTGGCAGCATATGGCTATGGAATCCGCTATGAGTTCGGGATTTTTAACCAGAAGATTGTCAATGGCTGGCAGGTGGGTGAGACTTGGTTCCTTCACTCGTTTCCAGCTCTCGTTTGCACAAGAAAATAAACAGGTGCACTTTCCGTTCAGCTTTTAGTATTTAATTTTTTTGAAGTTTAAAAGAGATTTATTTCAAAACACAACAAAAAAAAGCTTTGGTATTTCAAAACCCAACGATCAGTCACTAGAAAGTTAAACACTTCCCCTGAAACCCAGGAGAACAAAACCACAGAGCTCCACGGACTCACTGGAAAGGGACAATGTGCAAACCCCAGAGTTACCCGAGACCCAAGCCCTCCACACAGGCCGCGAGCGGGCCCCCGAAGGCCACCCCTGTGGTGAGATCCAAAATCACCACCAAGATCCACTGTCTACAGTGGACGCAAAAGCCCTCCCAGCTTTTAGTATTTTAAACTCCTTCATGGAGAGACTACATGCCAGTCCTAGACAAGCAGAGGTGGGGCAGGTCAGGGCAATCTTACGAGCTCCATGCTTTCTTCATATTCCCCAGGGGCCGGCAGAGGCTGGTCTCCTGCGTGAGTTCATTGCACACGGGTGGGGCGGGGCCCAGAGCCTGCTGGACCTTACAGGGGGCACCAGGGGTGGAGGTTGCGTGGAGGTGGTGAGAATATCACAGGCGCATGCTGGTTTCCGTTGTGTCTCAGTGCAGAGCCAAAGTGGCCCCTCGCTGGTTCACCCTCCGAGGGACAGCTGACCTGGAGCAGTTAGAAAAACAGTTGTCATCGGTCTTGTTCCCACCTTCAGCCTTATCTCCCCGATACCAGTGAGAGAACAGCACCGTGTGGGGTTCGAGGCCAGACCCTGAAAACGAAAGGGTCCCTTAGGGAGAGTAAACCTCAATTCTAGAGCATCTGCCACAGCTAAGTGAGGCGGTTGGGACCACATCAGTGAAGAGTGTCATCTTAAAATGCAGTCTCACTGTCCTCTAGGCGAGGTGGTTCTTCCCCTCATTTGGCATTTCCAAATGGAAGGCATAACTATCCATGTGGGTGTAGAATAATTTTTTTAGTATAATTTGGGGCCTAAAAGTCACATATAAAGCCAGGATGTAGTTAGGATTGGAAAGTTTTGTAACTCAAGAGTAGTATAGTCTCAGTGAAATAGCCGATGACCGGGTTGATGGAAATGCCCTATGTCTTGAGGGGGTTTGAGTCACGCAGGATGCAATTGTCAAAACTCATCAATGGTATCCACAGGGTTTGTGCATTTCACTGTATATATAGTAACCTAAAAAAATAAACACATGATGAACTGTACTTAAGATGTGCATGCTGAAGTGGTCAGGGGCGGAGTGTAGATGTCTGCAACTTACTTTGAAATGCACCCAAAAATTAATGGATCAATGGATAAATCAAGTGTAATGTTAACAATTATGGAACCTAGGTGGTGAGCATGTGGGTGTTCACTGCCAATTCTCTTAACATTTCTGTATGTTTGAAAATGCTCATAATAAAATGATGGCAAAGAAAATTATGGCTAAATGTGTAAAAGGAAACTTAAAACAGATTTGTACCCATTGTTTAACTTATAGAAATACTCCCTCCAGCCTTAAAAGAAATGGCAGCTTTCCTTCTGGTACCTTTCAGATAATTTCACTCACAGTTTATGTGTGTGTTTGTCAGATGTACGTGTGTTTTGTTCTGTTTTTAAGAGATGAGCAAAGATCTTTATTTTCTATTTTTGTTCTGTTTTATTTAAAGTATAGTTAGCACACAATATTAGTTTCAGGTGTACAACATAGCGATTCAACATTTATGTACCTTACAATCTGGTCACCATGGTAAGTCTAGTAACCATCCACTATGCAAAGTTATTACAATATTATTGATTATATTCTATGTGCCATATATTATATCCCCATGACTTATATTATAACTGGAGATTATAAAATGACCATTACCTCCCTTCACCTTTTTCACTCATGCCCCTAGTCTTTCTCCCCTCTAGCAACTATCCATTTGTTCTTTGTATCTATGAGTTTGTTTCTAATTCATTTTGTTTTTTAGGCTTCACATATAAGTGAAATCATGTATTTGTCTTTCTCCGTCTGACTTGTTCACTTAACATAATACCCTCTATGTCGACCTGTGTTGTTCATATGGCAAGATCTCATTGTGTATTATCACTGAGTAATATTCCATGAATATCACATCTTCTTTATCCATTTATATATCTTTGGATACTTGTACTACTTTCATGTCTGGGTTATTGTGAATAATGCAATGAACACAGGGATGTGTATATCTTTTTGCATTAGTGTTTTTATTTTCTTTGGATACTCAGAAGTAGAATTGCTGGGTCATATGCCAGTTATATTTTTAATTTTAAAAAAAAAATATTTTTTTTTTATTAAGGAAGGGAGAGGTAGAGAGAGATAGAAACATCAATGATGAGAGAGAATCATTGACCAGCTGCCTCCTGCACGCCCCTTACTGGGAATCAAGCCCACAACCTGGGCATGTGCCCTGACCAGGAATCGAGCCTTGACCTCCTAGTTCATAGGTCGATGCTCAACCACTGAGCTATGCCTGCTGGGCACATTTTTAAATTTTTGAGGAACCCCTATACTGTTTTCCACAGTGGCTGCACCACTTTACACATTTTCAAAGCAGAGGGCTTTCAGTGATTCTGTTTTTATTTTTAAATAACAGCTATTGGGATATCCAGTTTTTAATATATTCACAAAGTTGGGCGACCATCACCCATATTTCCAGAACATTTTCATCACCCCAAAAAGAAACCCAGCACCCATTTCCAGTCACTCCCCTGTGCCTGTCAGCTATTCATCTACTTTCTCTCTGGATCTGGCTGTTCCAGACCTTTCATATGCATGGGATCATACAGTACATGGGCGTCTTTGACTCAACATAATGTTTTCAAGGTTCATTCATGCAGTAGCATGCAGCAGGACCTCTTTTTATTGCTGAATTCAGGTAATTCTTAATGTCTCTTCACTTTAATGCATTTTTCTGAATTTTGTTTAAGTTTGTGTTCTTAGTAATCCAAATTGGAAATCTTCGCATTGTGAGTAGGCTGTATTCAGTGCTGGGCAGAGTCATCTCCACAGCACGCGTGGTTAGTGCTGACCAAGGGCAGGTCAGCCCAGCGCCACGGACTCTCTCCTCTCCATGAGCTGTTTGCTGCTGGCTGCTTTCCAGGTCGAGGAGGCCGACGACTGGCTGCGCTACGGCAACCCCTGGGAGAAGGCCCGGCCGGAGTACATGCTTCCTGTGCACTTCTACGGGCGAGTGGAGCACACCCCCGAGGGGGTGAAGTGGCTGGACACGCAGGTACCCACCCGTGTTTCCCAGGGAGCGTGGGCGAGTGCCGGGCCTCGGGGTCTTGTCATTGAATTGGCTTGCTTTGGGAGTGGGAGGTGTGCACGCATATGAGTCACCGTAAGCTTCCCTAGAAGACCCAACTCAAGGTAGAAGCCTGGCAGGTTTGCTTCTCGTACCTTCGATTTCTTACGTTTTGTCCGAAACTATCCAGACAGTGGGAAATGCTGAACATGAAGCCATGCTCTGTGGTTTACCAGCAGCCGTGTGTTGGGATGGAGACCAGCAGTTGTTCATTGGCAAGCAGGGCAGACAGCGCTGTGACGGGGACAAGGGCATCGATCCCCTGGGGGACGTACGCGGCTCCCCAGCAGGTGCTCAGCATGCTCTCTCCCACATGCTCCTGGTCCTCGGGTGCCCATGGCTCTCAGTGGTACCCCAGGTGCGGCTCACCATTGACTCTGATGCCTCAGAGCCCCCGATGTGGGGAGAGGTCAGAGATGGCTGGAGGCCTAAAGAGCCTTAATTAGTATTTAACTTGAACAAGCAGAGAAGGGGATTGGTGCTTCTAAGTGTGCGTGCTTGTAGAAGATGAACGTGTCTGTGTATGCAAGGAGGCCCAGAGACTACTGGGGCGTCCGCGGCTGACCGTGATGAGGGCCTTACCCCGGAGGGCTGGCCATGGAGAGGGAAGGAGGCAGTTGGAGATGCTTTGCAGGGCTTGTCACCTGCTTGGACAAAGCCATGGGGATAGGGGAGCAGTGGGCGGGGTGAGGGTTGAGAGGAGATCCGAAGGGAAAGATGACACTGGGGCTTAAACCTGGTGGGGCCCTTCCGTAGTCCTTTGTGGCTGCCGGAGCTGTTTTCATCTTGTAAAGCCACACGGTGCCCTTGTGGGTGCTACCAAACGCATGTCTGCGTGTGAGGAGGCCGATTGGAGGGCCTGGGGGCTGGAAGAGACCTTGAGGCTTATCCACTTCTTCCTGTGCTTCCCAAGAGCAAAGCTGTCAGAGGGAATTGGGAAGGGGTGTAGCACCCTCCGTAGGGGGAGAACCGGTCTTGCACTTGCTGTTGGGAGCCGAGTGTGCGGGCTGGTTCGGCTTCATTGAGAGTTAGATATCAAGGCACACAGCAGGAGGACCCTCCCCGCAGACATGGGAACGGAGGTCAGAAATGGAAGCGTGTTTGGGGGAAGGTGGTTGAGTGAGAAGAGTTAAGGTGTGGAGGGCAGTGGACGAGGACACAGTGGTTGCTGAGGGAGCATGAGCCAGGGGAACGCAATGGCCCCTCGAGGTGGGAAGAAGTGTTAAGCTGGTGCCAGTACTGAAGCAGGAAAGGCTAAAAAGACAGTGTGGCCTCAGGTGTGCATTCAGGCTTACCTGTCAGGGCTGACTCAGGATGTCCGAGAGCTGGGGCTGCAGGCACGGGTGTGCAGCAGGGTGGGGAGGGTGGTGGGACTGTGGCTTGGCACAGGGCAGGTTGGGTGTGTTTTGGGCAGAAGGAGAAAAGCCAGAGGAGGATGAGCAGGTGCTTCCCGCTGGGCTGGCGCTGCTCTGCAGGTGGGCCCAAAAGTGGGCACTGACTTTGGTTGACTCCATCCTGACCCTGACCATCTCTCCCTCGGGCAGGTGGTGCTGGCCATGCCGTACGACACCCCGGTGCCAGGCTACAAGAACAACACTGTCAACACCATGAGGCTATGGTCTGCCAAAGCGCCCAACGACTTCAATCTCCACGACTGTGCGTTGTGCCCTTGAGTCTCCGTGGGGTGACTTATCCAAGACTTGCTCACACAGCTCTTGTCCCCTCTCTGCACTCTCCCTGCACTCTCCCTGCCACCTTTCTGGTGGCCCTGGTGTTCCTGGCACTCAGCCTGTCACATTAAGGGACTAGGCCCTCTTGCAGGTTGCTTGTGAGCAGAGGACTCCCAGGCAGAGCCCCTTGCCAGGCCCGCACCCTCAGGAAAGAGCTAGGGGCCTTGCGGGGCGCATGGGGGATAAGGCACCCAGCAACTATTTGAGGGAGCGGATGGGAAACAGGCAAAGCAGCAGCAGCTCTGGGGGTGCCTTCTGTTCAGGAATGCCGGTCCTCAGGTTGTTGAGGGAAGCAAGTGCGACACCTGGGAGTGAGGGCGCATGGGAGAAGGGATGCAGGTCCTGACCACACCATCTCATCTCTGCTCCTAGTTAACACGGGCGGTTACATCGAGGCGGTCCTGGACAGAAATCTGGCCGAGAACATCTCCAGAGTCCTGTACCCCAACGACAATGTGAGTAGCGTCCATAGTTTATCTCTGTATAGGCTGGGGCCCTCTACAAGGGCCTGCTTGCTGGTGAGACCACATGACTAATGTCCAGGCGGTTTCTGTTTTTCTGATGCCACTTTCCCAAGAAGTAGGTGACCCATTTGTCAAGTGGGGACAGCAATCCCTATTTTGCAATGACACCTTGAGACGCACGACAGTCATGGTTTGAAAGTTCTTGGCTGGTGCCCATCTCATCCTATATAATAAAAGGCTAATATGCAAATCAACCGAACAGCGGAACAACCGGTCACTATGACGCGCACTGAC